GCTCCAGCCCTCAAACCATTCATACTCACCATTTCATCATCCACCCATCTCTAATCCCAACTCTTACCCTAAAACCTGCCCCACCCTTAATGAAAAACGAGGACCAATGTTGCTTAATTGATATTCATTTGTGTATTTTAATTATAAAACAAGAGAGTACCCTTTTCTTTGTTATGCATGCATTCTCAAATAATTATGTCACGTAACCTGTCAAACCTGATACACCGCCTCTTGCATTCAAAAGTTGCCATTTTGCAGATGATCTTTGCCAATTTTAAAATTACAACACATGAATATGATTATAATTATGACTTGATTAAGATCTCGTAATGGAGTAGTACACCTTGAATAAAAAGCCTGTCCCACACCAAGCATCTTATGTGCTGTTCCTATTCATGCTCTTCTAAATATTTCCCTCTTTCTTTCCATAGGAATGCACTGAACTAAGGCTTAAAGCCCAATGCTACAAGCAGATCCAACCAGTAGGCCTATAAAATCTGAAATCTATGGAAATGCTCGCTGAACTTTGAAGCCTGAGTTAAGTCCTCTGAAAAAACATCCCGCTAGATCAGCTGAAGATTGCTGACCCTGATCCTTACTGACAGCATTGCGCAGTGCCTGTACTGTTTGTTTACGCCTGGTTATTTTTTCCAACTCTGTGTAGTGCTTATAGGTTTTCCTGGAAGCCCATCTGCAGTGATCCATGACCTGCTCCTCTGAAGCTCCAAGGAGACGCAAGGTGGCTGCCACCCCCGCTCGGTTTCCATGGGCCCTCAGCCGGCGATCGTCTGGATCTGATGAAGAGGAAAAGTAGGCCTGCAAACGCACGTTGGGAGCGGCACCTACGAAAGGCTTGTTGACAAGATACCTGTGGTCCTGTGTTGAAGGCCGAAAGAGAAAACCATCTGTAAGGCTGTAACCGTTTGACCTTGCCAGTTCAACCAAACTGTTAACTGCCCCGGCTGGGTCCAGATCTGATTGACCCTCCAGCTTTGGAATGACAATAAGAGAAGAAGAGGACTCTCTAATCGTTTTCCCTACGGTGTGGTTGAAGAGAAGGTCGCCGCCCTCTATTCTCGAAATCTCGCATGTCTTGGTCCTGCCTAAGTCGCCTGCCCTGTCACCAGCCCACCAAAGACATCAAAAGAATGCTAAATCTCTCTGCAATATGTATCTCTGAATGAATGGAGAGCTGCTACATTCTCGGGATGACAAACGCCTCTTTATTTCTGTCGCCAACCAGCGTAACTTATCCGAGAATATTGGGACGGCTTGCCTTGGTGTGACGTGTGCCTCGGCCTGTTCCAGTCGAATAGCCCGTAGATATCTTTGAACCCGCTGTGATATGCAAGGGTTACCCCATAACGAGCCTGAGCGCCAAATCTCGGTTCTGCCTACAGAATTGTAATACCCCCTGAGCTGGCCAATGTAAGAGTCCACAGTTCCGGCTGCTAAATGACGAGGGCATTCACAAGGGAAAAAGCCATGCTTGCCCAAGTTTTCACATCCAACGGTGTGGACTTGTGTTCTCCCTTTAGAATCCTTGTCCACTAGGAAGGCGACAATATCCAGGGGCGTAGCTGAGTGTAAGTCGACTCCCTCTGTGTGGTATCCTTCGCCGTGGTGTTTCTGGATAAACTCTTCGAGTGATGCCACCAGCTTACTTTTCTGCTTATCGTATGCCCGCCCATCCAAAAGGCCATCTAGCGTCTTCAACCTCGCCAGTACCCCGTCACGCTTTGAAAAAGAAGATGTAAATTTGTTTACGATCGATGTTCTGTTGTTCTATCGGAAACAAGCTATGTCGGGACCAGTGCGTAGGTGCAGAGCTGACCTTAAAACCATCTGCAACCTACTATGAAGCTTTAGACTGCCCCACCAAGACAGATGGACATCGTCCCTCAGATCCTCTTGCATAATGTAATCATTGGAGAGGAAAGCCCAGCCGGCCTCATTACATATGGCTCTTAGGGCTTCGTTAACTACAGCTACCGAACGGTTTACTTTCACCAGCCTGGTTTGACAGACCGATGACAAGATGAAAACGCAATCGGGAAACTCGGCTCGAAGCCGAACGGCAGCTGCCCTGAACACTCTTATGACCTCTTGAACCCCCTCCTGACAATCTGCCAATCTGCTGAAATCATTGATGCCCCCATGTAAAACCACTGCATCCTGTGCATGTCGTCGACATGTGGTGGCTGCTGCTCTACACAATGATGAGATATTATGACCCCCTCTTGTGACCAGCTGCACATCTAGGCTCAAGGGCCAGCTGAATCCTTTCAAGCCTTTAAACATGGAATCTGACATGAGAAGGACATTCATTTGCTTGGGCAGCGGATTTTCCTTCATATGTTTACCGCAGTGAGGACAGAAACATTCAAAGGCCCAAAGCTGAAAGGGCAGACCCTTCTTATTCGGCGTGTAACCATTAGCTGATGGATACTCAATGACCCCCATCTGTCCTTCCTCTGACAGACGTACTGACTGGCGTGCATAAGAAAGCAGACTTGGCCACCATGGTTTCGGGTGAGGGTGCTTCGGTACAACCATCGTTACCTTCACATTTCCCCATTCCTGGAACAGTCGAATGAGTGAAGCTATCAGAACAAAAGGTGGGAATAAAAGCTCTTCGCCCACCGGGCACTGCTGGGCAAAGACATTTACCCCCGACGATCCAGGTGCCGGATCCCTTGAGTAGAATTTTAGTGCAGACTCGTCTAACCCACTCGGCACATTTGAAGGAAGTGCCATCAAGTCAAATGTGAAGCCTCGAGGCCCACCCAACTCTCTCTCTGAAGAAGCTTCCAGATTGACTGGGATAATCGAGCATCTGCCTTAGACACCTCTCTTGACGGGGCATCCGCTGGATTTTGCTTGGAAGGGACCCATCTCAACTGCAGCGTGAAGTTAGCCTCTAAAGTAAGGGCGAAAATCAACTTTAAAACCCTTGCCAAAGCTGTCGACTTCGCTCTGCGCCTGTTTCAAACGTCAAAGAGAACTAATGCGTCAACTGTTACGTCCACACGTCTATCCCACAATGAGTCTAAGACCGACTGCAAGACAAAATACAAAGCCAATGCCTCTTTGCAGCATATGTCTTCCACAGCTAGAATTTCTTGAGGCCAGTAATCTCCAAAACTCGTGTTTCCTGACGGACCGACCAAAACTCCTCCCCAACGAAAACCAGACGCGTCCGAACTCAGAGCCACTGATACATGGTGCTCCTTTTTCCAAGGTATGGGTTGCGAGAATGAATCTATAAAACGCCAGAAAAGGATCTCGGCTCTCACTTCTTGTGTAAGAGATGTGGGGGAAACGTCGTCTAATCTTGACATAAATGTGCAACACTCTCTTACAAACAAGGATGCCGCTGGAAATACCAACGTAAAGCTTTGACATTTTCCGACAAAGCGTTGAAGCTGTTTTAAAACAACCTGGTCTGCCAATAGGATATTCTCTCTTACTTCGGCAAATGATATCTTTTTTTCTCTGGAATCCAGAAAGACAAGGATTTTGAACAGATCCCCAGACCCAGATGGATCATCCTAGAGGATGGCTGCAGATGGCTTTTCTCCAGGTTGATGAAAAACCCCAAATGTGATTGCATGTAGTAAACCACGTAAAGCGACCTCAGAGCCCTGTCGAAAGCCCCGTCATCTGACGCACACTCGATTTCTGGGCACTGTGACACAAACAAATTAGAAAGGGAAACAAAGGAGAAACGACCAATATTGAGAATGTCAGATAACCTATTTAGGTGTTGCCGATGAGCCCGAACACTCGCCTATAAAACGGTCATCAATCCAAACCTCGGTATGGATACATTTGAGCAGCTCTTTTTTTGCTGTAAATTACTTCCCAACTGTAGATTTGGAACATGTGCTAATTAGTAGACGGAATAAAATCACCAACTGTGTTGTGTAAATTCTGTGACATTTTGTTTGTGAACATTTTTGTTGTCCGTTTCGTTGGATCTAAACTCAAAAGTATACTGGAGTAGCCTATGTCTTTGTGCCAGTGAAGATATTGCGAGAATTATCTATGGAGCACCGGGGTTACCTTTGGCATATTCAAACCTGATCAAATATTAACTAGTCCAGTACCAAGAGCGAACTGCGCTTGAACCCACCGCACTTTCAGGGAAGCACGGTGCCGGCTAATTTCTTAGAGCTCTTATTGGATAAAATGTGTCTGACCTTTGACCCCAGTCAGTACTTCCCCCTGCGCACATCACGTGCCCCTTAATGCTTCGTGCACATTAGCAACTACCCACTATGCTGTACGCTTCAAAAAGATAATACACCTGCGACCCTGACTAGGGTTGCAGATTTGGTAAATGCTCCCACTTCAGAAATTTAGGGAAAATACTCACAACTCTCCAAGGTGTTCGAGACACACATCAAATTAAAGCTTATGTCATCATCTTTCATTTTCTTTTCAATTTTTGGGGGTCAACTGATGACTTTTAGGAGAAATTTCCATCCGAAAATGATCACCCCTGAAAATAGTCCTGAAGCCCATCGCCATTTTGAAAAACGATGCCTACACTCCATTGCAAAATAGAGCGCTTTAAGGGCCCCAAATTCATCCAAATTGAACGGAACTACAAGCTCACAATCCTGTGCACAGCTTCCACTCATATTTTTTACAAACCCTCAAGTTCATGGCCCACAGCATGCTTAAATACTGGACTGGTTTACTGGTCTGCAACCATAGGGCGTTAGGGACGAGCGGAGAAGCGAAGCAGTGCATTGAACAGTGCTTTAATTTTATGACGACTCGTCACGGCTTCGGTGAACTGTACATGTTCATACCATGGAGGAAGGTTCCTCCATGTTCATACCATACATCGACGCACGACTATGAGCGCCCTTGAGGCTACATAGAATTACAAACAACGGCGACAGTATATAGGCCTACGTGCTGATGCAGATTGAACCTCTCTATTCTATAACAAATTGTTCAGCTCAAACCTCGACGGAGATTTTCATTGTTTACAGATTGACGAGTGGAATGTGGTTCCTGTAATCAAATAAAAGACAAACAAAAATCACCCTTACCAAAATGTACCAAGCGATCATCCTGCTTCTTATAATGAAGGCTACGGTAAACGCCCAAGGTAGGTTAATTATTATTTGTGGAGTGCTGCAGCTAGTATTATTTCATATATTACACTATATGCTATATATATTTCCCCCGTATCACTGGCTGAAAGCTAGCTGGCCTAGGTAGACTCAGCATTCTTTCTAACGGCGTTAATATATATCGTTTTTGAATATTTGTACATGACTTGTGTACTTCGCATTTTTTTTTAAACGATTGAGAGAGGTACAGCTCTATATAATTATTTTATGGGGCACATTTCTAATTCTGCATTATGCCTAGTATAGTATATTGGCGGCCATTTTTGCAAGACAGGGGCGAACTGGTCAAAATCCGAGTGTTTATAATTACACAGATCCAGTGGCGAAGCCAAGAATTTTTCAGGGGCGGGGGGCGCTGGGGGGGATGGAACATTTCATGGGGGGCGTCATGTAGATCAATGATAATTTTTTTAAAAACTCAAAATCTCAGTGGGGGGCGACAAGGTTTCATGGGGGGTTTCATGGCTGTCGCCCCCCACGCCCCCCCCCCCCCCCATGGCTACGCCACTGCATAGATCAGTGAAAGGAGCCCCAGGAATGGCGTAGCAAGCGGGGGGGGGGGGGGGGTAAGGGGTATTTTAACTGCCTAACTCCCCCAATATTTTCTTACAAGTGCTCTTTTTTCACAAGCGACCTTTTTTGAGGAGTGTCATTTTTTTATGTCAGTCATTATGCCGCAATGAAGCTTGAGCGCCACCTATTGTAAATAATAATACTAATAATACTGATAATACTGATAATACTGATGATACTGATGATACTGATGATGTTGATGATGCTGCTGATGCTGCTGATGCTGCTGATGCTGCTGATGCTGCTGATGCTGCTGATGCTGCTGATGCTGCTGATGCTGCTGATGCTGCTGATGCTGCTGCTGCAGCTGCTGCTGCTGCTGATGCTGATGATGCTGATGATGTTGATGATGCTGACGATGCTGGGGATGCTGATGATGCTGATGATGCTGCTGATGCTGCTGATGCTGCTGATGCTGCTGCTGCAGCTGCTGCTGCTGCTTATGCTGATGATGCTGATGATGCTGATGATGCTGATGATGCTGACGATGCTGACGATGACAACGACGACGACGACGATGATAATAATAATAAAAAATTACCTTGGATTGGACATTTGGGAAACATCCCCATAGTTTTTTTGCACAAGATTGTTCAAACTTAAATGTGCCCTAACCCAATAGTCCCTTGTCCTTTTCCCACGAATTTCGGTATGTTTACTTATTAGACCACGAGCAACAAAAATAATCTAATTGCGACAATACAATTTTATAACGACATTTATAAGTAATAACGACAACTTCTAGTATGTAGTGAATAGTAGGTTAGGCATATCGTACAGGGTTGTTGGCTGATTTAAATCTCGTTGATTCAAGTGACTCAGTGATTTACATCGCGATTTAAATCAAATGATTGTTTTTTAATCACTGACTTCAATCATTGTTTTGTAAAAATCTTATTTTTTTTTGCAAAATAAATTGATTGAGGGTCATTTTAATGATTTAAATCAACTGATTCCACTTAATTACAAATTCTAAGATTTTGTTAACACATTAAAACAATCCTACTCAACTTAGGTTTTGCATAATAATTGCACAAAATAATTGTTTTGATTAAGGTCAAGATCTGAGTTTAAAAGTGTTTTTTCTGAAGTTTGAATTTGAAAGACAGCACAGTCACGTTTGCTTTAATCAATCCTTGATCTTTTTACTGTAATATTGTTAAACAACTGTGCTGGTGTGCATGTATATTGTATAGGCTTACCTGAACCATGATAAGGTGTATTTCAGTCCAAAATTGATAGTCTTATTCCTAACGTTTCTCCAAACATTTTTAAATTGAGATTTATATAATACCTTTTAAAGGTGGGAGGCCTGATTTCTGTTCTCAACCTTGTATGAAGTACCATCAAATCAAACACTGTAAGTTATACAAGGATCAGTGCCGTCAGTTTTGAAATTAGATATTTAGAAAATGCATGAGAAAGTCGATTAATTTCGAAATTGACGAGAGAACATGGAGTGCAGCCTCTCAGGAATAATCCTGAGACATAATGACGTAATGGCTTTGTTTACATTATGCACTTTCCTATGTGAGTAAAGTCGGGACGCCAGACGAAGTAGGGACCGTCTACAACATAGAAAGCGCACATGTAAACAAAGCGTGATGTCATTAGGTCCCAGGCATATTCACAACCGAGGAAAGCTGTCATGCACCCGCAGTACAATGAAACTTTGTCTTTCTGCAGTCATTGCAAAATGGTATTCCCACTACCGCTAACATCATTTGTAAAAACCTGTAATAATGTCCTTGCTTCTAGATCATGATGTACGCCTATCACATATCGGCGGCAAACAGGGCCGAGTCGAGGTCCTGAATAACGGTCAATGGGGCACTGTCTGCAGGGATGGTTGGGGCTTCTTTGACGCCTTGGTGGTGTGCAAGCAACTCGGATTCCCATGGCTTGCCGTGAACGGATTTAAGCATGATGCAGGCAACGGGACGGGACCGGTTTGGCTGAGTAACGTAAGGTGTAATGGGTCGGAGACCAGACTGGACGAGTGCGCAAACGACGGATGGATGGAGCACCAGTGTGCGGATGCCAGTCATTCCGCTGCAGTGAAGTGCTTGGACCAGGACGAATGGAAAGGTTTGTCTTGTCTTGAAATTTAGTTTGTAAAGGTAGCGGCAATGCCTAGAAATATCTTGATAACATTTAACTTGTCTGTGCATCGACCGCGACAACTCTTGAGTGTCTCAGATTCATTTTAGTGTGTTAAGGTGGCGGCGATGCCTAGCAACATCTTTATATTTAAATCTTTAATGAGAGAAGGTCTGTGCGAATTCCGACGTCTCGTTAGCTCCATCTTTTCATGTTAAATATCGCCGTAGTTAAAGTGATTGGTGAATGTTTGTCTGTTTTGGGGAGGTTGATGCCAGTGAGGCTTAATTTTAAAAGACAACAGAAGTCCTTTTCTTGAGTTTTTAATGTGCAACATTCCTCCCTTACCTGCTGAAATGTAGATAATTTGTCTGGAATATATCTTGTCGATGGAGCCAGCGGATACGAGGGACGGGTGATGGTGAACCTGCATACCGACGACTGGCGTCATCGGTTCCAGATATGCGATCAGGGCTGGGATCTGGCTGACGCTAACGCCATCTGCCGCATGAAACGCCTACCGTCAGCACTACGGGCTACCACCAGCTCCTACTTCGGGAACTACGACCCGAATACAAATACGTATATGTATATTTCAAATGTATCTTATCTGGCCACCGATTTTGCTTGCACTGGTAATGAGAGCCACATCGCTCAGTGTCCCGCCAAGGCTTGGTTCCAGGATGAATGTCCGACTGGACGCACTGCTGGAGTGATATGCAATAGGATTGAAGGTAAAGAGTTCTTCTCCAATTGGCAACTTAAAGCTACAGTCCATCATTTGCCAGCTATCCCAAAAATAACTGACGTAATACTGGCATCTTGTCATTTTGAAGAAATCAACGAAAGAAGGCCTGTTCAACGATGCGTCTAAAGACGTTCTGTCAGAATCTCTGCTAATCTCTGCAAAAGCCGTCGTTTTCAAGCCAGATTTACGTGGTCGCAATACAATAGGCCTACGACAAATCAACTTAAAAATATATTTTTTTGGGGGGGGGGAGCGCCACACCCTAAAAAGCACGTTTATACTAGCTTGCTTTAAAGATATCGCACAGGTGTTATTCTGTCTGGCTTGCTGTCATTTAGAAAAGATCAAAAAGTTTAGGTGATTTGCAACGATCAGGACAATATAACGTTTTTTTGTTGGATATACAGAGTTGTGTGGCCGATAAATCGTGTTCATGGGATCGAAATAAGGTTGTGTATTTTTTTTTTTACTGTTTTCTCGAAAAGTCTTATATTCATGAGCTGAAACTTTAACAGGTTAGGATTTGGACATGGTTGTTCAGATTTTGAGCGGCGTTATGCATGCAAAGCCAATTATCCTAAACGATTTTCAACCTTTCTCTTTAAAAAAAGACGAAGAATCAGGCGAAAAAATCCATGTCGGACTCAGGTCTCCATGGAAACGAACAAAATGCATGTAAAGGAAACGATACTATACATATATATTTATAACTTTAAACCTTTCTCTTTGTTATATTTGACAAAATAAATAAAGAGTCCGAAGAATTCCAGCTGAGACTCGTGGGTGGCTCGACCCCGAACGAGGGCCGAGTGGAGGTATTTACCAACGGAACCTGGGGGAGTATTTGTTTGGATGGTTTGTGGAGCATCGGGTACCAGGAGAGTAACGTGATTTGCCGGCAGCTGGGGTTTGGCTACGGCCTGGAGACACCGACGGACGACCGGTTCGGTCGCACCGACGGCCCGGTGGCCATAAGCGGTAACATCAAATGCTCTGGGAGTGAATCCTCCTTCGCTCAATGTCACATCCCCACGTTAATGTATGAATTGTTTCCGCGTGACGAAGAATGCTTCAACAAGGAGGACAGTTACCAAGCTGGTGTCATTTGCAGTGGACCAGTTCCTGGTAGGTATATTTAATTTTAATATTTAAAGGGCACTACGGCGTGAAATCCCCGAAATGTCTTACCATTCCGCAAATCCCGGTTGGTTACATCGGACGCGACAGACATTTTGTGGTATAAGCCTAAAGCCATCTCTATAGACCATTATCATGTTGCGGCCATCTTTATTTTTTTCCCTTTAAAATCAACGTAACCAAAGCGAGGCTGGAAGGAAAAATAGTCTGGTAAATCATTATCATTCAGTACTGTTACTGAATACAGGGAACATGACTGAAATGGTGGCAGCATGATCAAAGTCTATTTAATGAACTGTACACGTGAATGTGCGATATCAACACACAACACCCTATGTTCTTCCACGTCCGCAGAATGGAATTTTTCGGAGTTAAAATAACTGTGACCTCCGAAATTCGTCCCCGTATGGTTCTCGCAAAAATAATACAAAACGCCAAGTTTTTAATGTACGGGTGTTATTTTTAAATGTTCTTTCCAATTAATATAATTTCAACAGAATTGTGAACTTTTCGGCAAGACAATTGATGGGAAAACACTGAAAAAAAATACCGGAAATGGAAAATATCGGACCAAAAAAACCGTGTCCATTACCTGACCATGGTGACATCCGCATTCTAAGTATGGTTAGTATTTCCAGCTTTCCTGGCGAATCTCCCCATCTCATGAGCCTAGAAAGCTGGACGTTTCAATAAGCTAGGCCATTGACGGTTATACGTTAGTTTACGCAGTAGTCATGACGTTAGGCCTACGTGGCTAATACATTCCGGTATAAGTGCCTATTTGTAATTTCCCGAGACTGATAGATATTTTGTCATTTTGGAATTCTTATAGAGTTGTTACTCTGATTTTAAGTAAGATTTGAGGCTTTGCATGGTGGAGATACTAAATAATGAAAAGTTTGCGGAAACGCCATGTGCAAATAATTCTAAACTAAGAGAATGGTTCTGAAAACAAACCAGAGGTACTCGACGTTCCGGTCAGTATGCTCTGACCGTCTTCAGGAGAAGTTGCGTTCACGCGATTCTACCGCGAAGGTCAGTTGGCCAATTTGGCGGCAACCCCCTAACACTGACTGGCTGTCTTCTTAGGCAGCCAATCAGCGTTGGGGCAATGGTTACGGGGTTGCCATCAAATTGCTTGGGATTCTGATCCCAACGCTGATTGGTTGCCTTAGAGTCCGGCAGCCGGATATAAAACAAGATGCTCTGCAACGTCCGCAATCGTGAGCGATAAGACGGCAGGCGGGGAATTTGCACATGTCACCAAACCAATGTTTCAGTTGAGTGTAATGTATTTTACATTTACGTGACAAAAATTGATTATGTACTTGATATGCAGAGTCACGAAGTCCCGTGAGGACCAGCTATAATGGGAGTGGCAACGTCTTAATCCACCACGATGGACGTTGGGGGACAATCTGCAAGGCTGGCTGGACCCTGGCCAACGCACAAGTGGTCTGCAGGGAGCTGGGATTTCGAGCCCCAAAAGAAGCTTTGGTAATACTGATCATTCAACTCAAAAGCATTGGGGCTTTATCACTAGGACACCACGTTACACTACGTTACACTATAGGGCGTTGTTCATGCAAAATAGCGTGCAACTATAAGTACAAACGATGCATCATGTTGTGCACTGTTTGTTCTTCGTTGTCAATGTGATTTCATACACTAAACGGGTAGGGAGGGGGGTGTCTCGTGATTTACTTGTGATACAATTGACGTTATATTATGTAGACTACTTAAGCACTGCCAAGACAAGTAGTATTCTTTTGATTTCCCTGTTAATGTTCCAGTGTCCGTCAAATTTACGAACCTCAAGCCAATAAAGTACACGGTAGACAAAATGTTCAGGCATTGAACGAGAGGTTCACTCATTTTATATTTTGCACAAAAGGATGGTCGTTGGCGACGGCCTGGAGACGGACCCATATTCCTGAGCGGTGTGTCTTGTAAGGGAGACGAGGATACCTTGGACCAGTGTGATCTGGGAGAATGGTACCAACACGACTGCACCCACTCAATGGACGTGTATGTAATCTGCGCTGCCGGTATGTCCTTTTCAACACCTTTTGAACTGTCTTTTTTTCATACACCGTTTTACGGATACCGCAAAAGAAGTACAATAATGTAGGCCTAAGGTAGAATCGAAGTTCTACCGAGAGGCTGGCCCGACCCTAGTCTATGGAGTACGTAGCTGCTTATAATTATGTATACGTACAAACAGGGTCTGTGATATCATCGCGCGGATTCGGCCATTAATTACTCAAAACGTCTTGACATCCAGTTTCTGACCATTCAGCGGGCGCATTCAATCAGGTCTTCAGCAACCCGTTGCTGTTTTAAAAAAAAAACACGTCAGCCCAATTGACCAATCAACAGCTTTGTCCACATTTCCGATCGAACTAACGTCAGTTTCTAAAGTCAACTACCCCGGTGGATGGAGCGCAGGGTCGCATAAAATGTGCATGCTATGGGATATATCAGATGTTCATTTTGGAAGGCTCTGCACACGCACGATCCGGAGTCCCATGACTAGCGCTAGCCCGGCGCGTGCTCCCTCCATAAACGATCTAGTTGGCCCATGTTGTTGCTGGTAGTAGCGATTTTTACAGAAACCAGACGAGTCGATGGTTTAGCCCTAAAGGGGCCGGGGCGGAATCCGCCCCCCCCCCCTCGACTTTTTCCGCGATAGCTTTGAAAAAAAGTTTGTCGCGACCCGAGCTGTAATGACTTTTTAGCCTCGAGCCTTGCGCATCTTTTCAAGATACCAATTTTTTCTGCGCTATGCGCCGTGAAAACTGAATTTCCCCATATACGTAGTGTACACAGAGCAGAATTACCATTCGTGCATATGAATAATTAATTAGCCATAATTCCAAAACCTTTTGACCTATAGTCATGAAATTTCTTGGGTCTGTTCGTGATAAGTTGCTCAATGCATGTACTGAGTTTCATATTTTTTCGTCGCTCGATGGCCAAGATCTTGGGGGTGGGGGCGGAATTTTTTTCAACAGCCGACAACATACATAATCGACAGGAATATGGATATCGGATGGGGTTGTAAATAAAGTAAGCCCTAGTGACGGGGTTGACCTGTCCCCATATTTGAGGTCCGAAGGCCAAGGACGAGGGGGAACCAAAATACTAGGACTGCACGTACAGAACTAGTTGAAGTATAAAAATTTCTACGCGAGCTCATTGGGAGCATGAAAAGTGCCCCAGTGACTGTTTTTGAAAATGGAGACAGTTTGACTTGAAAAAGGGTGGGATTGTATAGTCGTGGTGGTGTAAGTATAGTCGAGGAACAACTCCCTGGTTTGGGGGATTCCATATTATGAGGGCAGACTTAATATAATTTCGGTAAAAAAAATGGATGATATTTGACTGAGAAAGTGGCCAGGGATGCCATTTATAAAATGGCCGCATAAAGGCTTTGGAATAATCACTTTAATTCCGGGGTGAGTTTTTTGGTGTTATTTTTAAAATATAATTAATTGGCTAACCCCTCCCCACCAAAAATTTAAAGGAAATGGAAAGAAAGGATGAAGGACTAGACAATGATTTAATGTTGGTTTAAGAAAACCCCGGTAATGTCGGCTTGCATGTTATGTGGCCATTGTGATTTTAAAATGCTTTCAATGGGGCTTGCAGTGGTTCGTTGCAACTTTGGGGTTCGGGTGCAACTTGAAAGAGTTGGAGTGCCATGGTCTAGCGGTAAAGAACACCGGAGTCATGCTCTGGTGTGGCAGAGGCAAAAGTGGCGTGGGAGTTCGAGCCTGCTGCTGTGTGGACACTTGTGCCCTTGAGCAAGGCAGTAGCCTAACCATTATTGCTTCGGGCCTTCGGATGGGACGTAAAGCCGTAGGTCCCGTGTGTTGTGTAATGCAATGCACGTAAAAGAACTCAGTCACACTTATCGCTAAGGCCCGGTGTTTCTGGTCTCCTGTATAAACGCCCACGAGTATTTAGGAGATGAACTTAACCAACCATAGACATATAATAATGTATTATACTATGAAACCAGCCAAGAAAGAACTGGCCTAATTATTATTATTTTGTCATCCACGAGAGGGCGTCTTAGAAAATGAAGAGTGAGTAGAGAGGGCGGGCTTTGCAAAATAACGGGGTTACTTTCATGACTTTTCGCTCACATATCGATGAGCGAACTTCCAATTCTTTTCTGCTCAAGTTTCGAGTATTTTTGATTAACCAAACATGCATGAAATTCACGAAGTCGGGCCTTAAGGCTAAATTAGTCTTACCGAATGGACATTGGAGATGACTGGAGTTTAGACGACCACTTGCAGCACTTGGCTACGGAAGCGAGAGGTAACTAGGGCGGCCTAGGCCAACTTCATCTTGTTCAGTTGTTGGTCTTTTACTCTGGCGATCGTGTAGTGAAGGGCCCCCGTTTTGTTTTGATCAAATTACTTAGAGACAAAAATGTGTTTTATTGCTAAAAAATCATCTTCATCATAAGCAGACTTTTCTAAATTCTAAGGACACCCGTTTTGCAGTTTTGAACAGTTTTTCATGTTTTTGGGGGTAGAAATCACGATTTTCCCAGCGCGGTTCGTGCGGTTTAAATAGGTCATAGGTAGGCCTAGGCCTAGGCCTAGTCCATTGTGTACACAAATCAAGGAAAAAGATTTGCACTTGCAGTTGATAGCCATTCTGAATCAATTGAATAGAATTTTCTTGACTCTGCGAGGATTTAAGTCCTTCAATTGCCTGATTTCGGGCTTAATTCCAAGTTGTAATATTATTGGCACCATACAGTGATACACGTCTTTGTGTGTACTGTATACATGTCCCTCAAATTTCAGGGGAAAAATGTCGGAGTCCATCGGCATCTTTGACTCTGGGACCAGCTTTACAAAGGCTTTCCTTGTCTTGTTATATGTTTGAACTATCACAAGTTTCCAAATGTGAAGTTTATTTTATTCCGGTTTTTTGGGGTTTTTTTTTTCGCCACAGGTTTAGTAAAATTATCGATTGAATATTACTATTGTATTAATATTAGTTGATTATTGTTGACCTCCCAGATCTGTATCTTTCTGATGAGGTACCTCGCATCGATGGTCCACCCCCACCCCTGGGGTTTTACCGTGACTGGGTCTGTCCTAACAAACCTGTCATCTTCCGAGGATGCATCGATCACTGGAGTGCCCTCACAATGTGGTCTCCTGCCTACCTGAGGTGAGACTAAAACTCTCGTCAAATTTCCCGAAGTTCTGTTGGAGGCAGGTACATGTGTATATCTACTAGTATCCTGACGCTACTGATGTATTGAACAAAATAGATTTTTGAACAAAATCTATGGGAAGTAGGGGTAAAAAAGTTTCTGTCCAAATTCCATATATGGTGCAACATACATGCATTTGAAATGAATGACCGTCATTGAGGTCATACATAGATTCTGATCATATGACATCAAAGGGGGTCTGCTCATAAGTCCGACGCCTCATAGGTCCGACGCCTCATAGCTCCGACGCCTCGTAAGACAGACAAATTAAACGCCTCGTTTTTCTGTTGTCGGACTTATGAAACGTCGGACTTATGAGGCGTCGGACCTATGAGGCGGAATAAATAATTTGTATGCCTCATAAGTCCGACGCCTTCGGACTTATGAGGCGTCGGACTTATGATACGGCCCCATCAAAGTACCACGTGAGTGACTATCCAGTTTTCCAGTAATTTTACATAAAGTGACCGTGAATTCTTTATTAAATGACATAATGGTTACTACCTCTGCTGTTAATGGTTGTAAATCGTGCCCACTCAACACTGGGTGTTGGCTCGATGTGTTTTTTTTTGCACAGTTTTTACCATCCATCACAGCCTTGAAGGCCTGCCTACTACATGTACCTACTGCGCGCGGCACAAAGATGGACTGTGACACTGACTTTGTGGTACCGAATAGGCTATAGGTCATTTGGGTCGATGAGAGCCCTCTGAAGAAGAAAAAAAGTGGCATCGGGATACTGCATTTTACCTGTTACTATTTTGTCCTTGGATCAAGTACAGGCAGCTATATTTTAATATACAGCGCATCCCATTTGAAGCAGCAGAAAGTAGAGATTTTACCGGAGTTTTCAATTCCAATGTAATTTACTCCTAATTGAATCATTCTTAACTGCCTGAATTTACACCTGCAGTGCAAAGGTAATTGAAGCTTCACTCCTCATTTTTTATTTTTTTTTATTTATGCAAAATTATTGATTACTATTTCAAAGCATCCCTTTTGATAGGACAATCTCACCAGTATTCACGTCGCAGTGATACGTTGTACTGTACATGTACCTTCTTGGGCGTAGTGAGGGGGGGCAAGTGCCCCCCCCCCCCCCCTGGAAAAGCAAAAAAAAAAAAAAAGAAAAGAAAAGAAAAAGAGGCAGGAAGACAAAGTGGTGTAAATTTAATGAGTTGGGGGGGGGGGGCAAAATGTCCCTGCCCCCCTCTAAAACTGATAAATCGAGAATGTGTTGAGAAATACAAGTATTTTTTGGCAAACAAATTTTTTTGCCCCCCTCTAGAAAAAATCCTAGCGACGCCCATGAACATTATCTCCAGAAAAACGCATAGTATTGAGAGTGGCATAAATAGGGATGTGGCATTTTTAACGTCAATTTTGCACTTTTTCAAACTGCATGCTTGATTTGGCTTGTCACCAAAACAGTGCCCTTACTCGAAATGTGCCTCCACAGGGATAAGATTGGAGACAAGACAGTAACGGTTGCAGTCACGCCCAACGGCCTCGCTGACGCGGTCTACCAAGATAAGTTTGTGATGCCCGAGGAGAGACTGATGCCATTCAGGTCTTTCCTGGACATCGTTGAGGGGAAAAGTCCCCTTTCCCAGCAGGCTGGGAGTCGTAGTGGGGTGTTCTATGTCCAGAAACAGAACTCTAATTTACTGTCAGAATTCAGAGACATCATTGATGACGTGGAAACGGAATTACCGTGGGCATCGGAAGCTTTGGGTTAGTCAAATCTTTGTGAAGAAATCATTCAAAATGTCCCTTTACCCTAACCTCCCCAACCCATCAAACCCCAACGGCATGTTTTGTTGGAATCTGTCAGGATGGGTACAGTACCCCTAAACTGACAGTCTTTTACATTGGGTTGGCACACCTCCAGAATCAAAGTCAGAAATATGTGTGTGCAGTTTTCCATATGGTGTTGGAATTTGCCAGGATGGGTATGGTTCCTAGTGAATCATGCTTGGGAGTTAGGGTTAAAGACAGTACTTTTTTGCCTAAATTCTATGACCAATTTCATTTTCCTATCTGGTGTGAAAGTTTCTGCTTTTTTTGAATTTACGTAACAGGGTCTTTTAACGAGGGTTTCTGAATAAAGTGAATTTGTCCTCAAAACAGTAAGAAGAGTTTGAAAAATATGCTGATTGTTCCCAACTTGCATATTAAAAGAAATTGTTTACTTCGTTTCTTCTGCACTGATTGCCCCTCGTCCTCAGCTAAGAAATGTAAACACCAGTAGCCACTGAACTGGAAACGACTGTAATGAACATAATAATTTGTAAATTGACTGACAGGTGTTTTTTTTTCTCCACAGGGAAACGCCCAGATGCAGTCAACTTTTGGATGGGCGAAGCGAAGGCTGTAACCTCAAGTTGGTATTATTTGCACAAATTTCACTCTTGTTTCCTGGGGAAAAAAGTCAGACTAGGAGGTGCATGATATTAAAACTAAAAACCAACATAAATGGTCTTAATTTTCTTACATTGTAAATGGCATGGTTAATACAATTGGATACAAGAACACACCTGCTCAATTTGAATTTAATATTAGGCCAAAAAAAAATAATCGGTTTCTGGTCAGACCGAAGTTCCGGAATTGATGCGGCGACGCGGTTGGTTTTTTATTTTTTTGGTGGTTTTTTTCTTTTCAAGCTTGTATTGTACAGACAAGGTGGGTACTATTTTGCTTTTTTGTGTCCTCATTATACATTGGTGTCCTCCATAATTTGCCTTGGTGCCCTTTATCATTTGCCTTGGTGCAATTTCCCCATTCCTTGGTGCTCCTTGGTACAAAAATTTGAGGAGGTGCGGCAATAGAGGGCGCTGTTTTAGCTTCCGTGTTAATTTGAAAAAAAAAAGGTTGACGCGCATGATTTAAATCGACGCGCGCGCTGACCAGAGACCGAGTATTTTTTTTTTGGCCTTAGGGTTTTTTTTGGTGTTTTTTTGGCCCTCTGCTGACTGAATTTTATAAGCACTGTATGCTCTGTGCATTGTCCAAGCGCTTGCTAAGAAAAAAAGGGTTGGCTTGCTCAGGACTTTATACTCTTCCTGACGTAAAAGATTCCATTATAGCAAATGTCAAATTTGGTGGGTTTTACCTTGACCCTGTGTGTATCCCAACACTATTTTCGGTACGTCACATTGTGAATATGTTGTACACCACACACTCGCATATCTAACCCCCTAAGGGTTCCTCAGGACTACCCTGCTAAATCCAACATGGTCAAACGGTGACTTCCTGCTCAATCCAACAGAATCCAACTGTGCCTAATTTTTAATTGTCTGGTGGATCCAACAGAGTCCAACTTGGCGTTATTTTTCAGTACCCAACAGAATTCGACTCTGAATTTGTACATGTACGTTTGTACAAGGGGTTTACTGCTCAATCCAATAGGCTCCAACGGGTTTATGATATAGTTGGATCCTGTTGGATTCAGCAGGGTTAATTGTTTAATGGAAAACATCTTTACTGCAGGTGTAATAGTGGAAGACCAATATTAATCTACATTTTCTCCTTAACCTGGTCTAGTGCACAAGGACCATTATGAGAACCTGTACTGTGTCATATCAGGAGAGAAAGACTTCATTCTGCATCCGCCAACCGATCTACCCTTCATACCCTACGGTAAGTAAGACGGTTGGACAGATCTTTGTTCTTTCGCCACCAGTTGTGTTGTCACACTTTAAAGGCAGGCAGGATCATTTGAAATTAGCAAGACAAGCACCTGCTGATTAAAAGACGGAAACTTTGCTCGAGTTGAAGACGGGACTAGTATAAGATACTACGAAATTATACCACCTGAAACAGTAACACGTGGAAGAAGACAAACAGGGAAGGTGGTCGCGAAATGGGGTGCCCGCACTCGCACTTGTCTAGCTTTATCTGCAACTCACAAGGGCATAAACCCTGAGGGGGGGGGGATCCCCCCCCCCCCCCCCCCCCCCCCCCCCCCCCCCCCCCCCCCCGTTTGGCTGAAGGGGGGGATGGGCCATTGGATCATTCCCCTCCCCACCCCCACCCCTCCACCCCCCAACATTGTTGTGGTGAGAAACCAGAAATGCCAATTGTAAGCTTATATTCAAATTGTCCAACAGTTCACATGTATGAAATATCACCAAAAATGGAGAATGAACAGCTCAAGAGTTTTAAATGCATCGTCTGGATGTATTGTACATTTGTAAGTGCCCCAGTTTGTATAAGATGTACATTTGTATCAAAAACAATTTGTATCAAAAACATCGCCCTTATGTGTTTGTGATTGACTTATGATGGGTTTGGAATTAAACCCTTTAGCTTGCATTCAAGATTGCAGTGCTTTTAATCTAAGCCCAGAAATCCATCATCCATGTGTACACAGAAGTTTGACATCTTCACAGATACCTACCCAGCAGCCCGTTACAGAGTCTCAGACAACAGCAACTTTGACCTCATCAGTGAACCAGAAGTCGGCAGCGTGCCTTGGATCCCACTGGATCCTGTCCAGCCCGACCTGGTCAGATGGCCGGAGTATGGCCAATCACGCCCCGTCCACTGCACGGTGAGGGCAGGGGAGGTGCTGTATCTACCGTCATTGTGGTTTCATCATGTGAGACAAAGGCACGGCACAATTGCAGGTAAGGGCTGTGCCGTATATTCAAGTATTCAAATATTCGTTCAATTGTTTAACATTTAATCAATTATCAAATTTTCAAATGTTCTATCGATTGGCAGTGGTTTGTTATTTTTTATTATTTGTCATCAATTCAACTAGCAGTGACAAGTTGAGTGGCCAACTTCATTGCGGAAAGGTCCTTTTTTACACATGTTGAAAATATGTCAATTAAATTACCTTTCAACAGAACTTTTAGGTCATCTTGCAAAACAGTTGTCAACCAACCAGTGTCTGTGTCCAATTCCTCTTAATTGGCCCAAACCATCGCCCTTTTGAAGATCTTTATATATGAATGAACAATCCCGCCCCATTTTTCAATTTATGTGGGATACACTAATCTTGGTATAATCCTGTGTCTCCAAGCTTTCACAATTTACACAATTTTGAATGACCCTTAGACCAACGTGATAGAGTTCAAAGGTCATTAATGTCACATGGTCCAGCAAGCCTCTGAGTCATGCCAAAACTTAGACTGCATCCCAAATCTCTCAAGATTAATACCTAGGTCTTGAACAATCACTAATCCATGCATGGGCACCTACTGACTATAGGCATAGCCCCCTTTCCAACACGGCCTTACAGGACATATCTGGACTTCCTTTTACAGCAGACTATTATCCATTATGCTAGAGTATGTGATGATGCAAGACTTAACCGCATTCACATTGGACTGGTTTTTTTTAAGTTAACAACAGTCTCCATGGGCATTGGCATTGCCAGGATTTTTCTTGGAGGGGGGGGGAAGCACTGAAAAAGTTGAAACAGTCACTGGCTGAGGAAAAATTGAAAAGCGGTGGAGGGGGGGGGGACATGATTTGACACTTGGAGGCGCTGTTCATAAGCGTTTATATACATACTTTATGTTCAAAAACACATTTTAGGGTCCTTTCGGCAGTTCTTATTGCTAAATATACCCCTCCCTTGCCCCATCCTAGCGACGAACATGACAGTCTCTGTAAATTTGACAACAGTCATCTTCAGTGTTACATGCACAAACAACCATGCAAACACGGCTTTAAGTAAATGTAAAATCGATCTTCATTCATTGTCACTTGCAGTCAACTTCTGGTACGATATGGAGTACGACATCAAGTACAACTACTTTAAGTTTCTTGAAGGTGTGGTCCACCACAACAAGTTGACTTCAAACAGGTGACATCTTCCCAGAGACGTTTCGGTGAAAATTAAATAGTTACAGTCTTTTGTTCTATACATGTATATTTTGCTGTTTACTGATTCTCTGTTTTGGGTTTGTTTTGGGGGGCTCAAGTTAGGAGATAAATTTTCTAAGCTTAGGCCGTGGTTGCTTGGCGGGCTTTAAATCTTCCTTGCTAGCCTCCAGATTAAACATCTGACTTGCAGACAGTGCTCCATTAACCATGTTAACCCTATAATCCCCTTGAGTGATTTACTAGGAACCTTCCTCACTCTTACAAAATCCAACACCATATGGTAAACTCAACACCAAACTGTTGGACTCTGATTATGGTGGTATGCCTAACCCCATGTAATGCATTATCAGTTTACTAGTGCAGTACTCACTCCAACAGATTCCAATAAGCCATGCAGTCGGATTTTGAAGGGTCGCGGTGGTTGGGTGGTTAGGGTAAATTTGGAGATTCACAACATGGTTTGCAACAAGGTAAACATACATTTCTTGAATTATTAAATGTTTGTCCCACAGTTAATTACGTCCGTGCAGTAAAACCAAAAAAAAAATGAAAGCTTGCAAATAAAATATGTCATAATTACACCTAAAAAAATCAAAGTTAAAATTGGCTCCTCCAAAAATGTAGAACTAATAACTTATCTAGTACAAATGACCCACTTTTGTTAACGTTTTCCCACTGTTAGTACAGCACGACTGCAACCCAATATTTGAAACACATTCTTTGGACTGTTCATATTCAACAAAATTGTTACCAAAAAAGAACATTTTGTGAATCAAACAAGCACATCAATTTTATGAAGAACAAAAATATTTTATAAGAAAATTTGATATGTAAAAAACAAAAAAACCACATTGCTGTTTTGTAATTTTGTTTTTCGTGAGCTGTAGCCTGCCCTGATTTTACAACAAACAATGGGAATTGATCACTGTTTAATAGTGCACTGCCATCCAATCCGTTTCGTCTCTGTGTTCGATGACAAAGCTTAACATGTACGGTGTACCATCATCATTCCTCAACTGTCAAATTTGTTCACCAGACCAGGTTAATATTTGGCAAGAGGGGCAGGCTGGGGCAAAGAATGGGATAGCAATTAATTAAATTCCCAGGCCAACAAGAGCCGCTTTCTGGCGGATCTGTTGTTGCGGAGATTCCCTCTGTAGCTAGCTACCCACTAGAAGGGTCAAGTACCCGTAGGACGCATCATCAGCCCGGACTCCGTAGACCACGCTATACGGCCGCGAGAAATTAATCAGGCCCTCCTTCCATTTTCCTGTTTACCGAAAGCCGCAGGATGTCCAAGTTTTGCCATTTATTGCAATTTTCACAGCTTGGACGTACAAGATTTCGACAGTATGGGACTATTTATCGATAGGGGTGGCAGTTGCTCGTACTATGATACTTGTTTTTGTCTCTCGTTCCACGCTAATTCAGTATCGTTAGGCTTATTCTGCGATTAGAATGGTACGGGCACGTATGAGTGAGTGCCTGCCGTCACATCTTGCGTATATGTTCCAATACAAGGGAAGAGTTAATTTAAAAATAGGCTACCACAACGTGTCTTTAGGGTACACGTGACTGTAGTAGCAATTTTGTAGATATTCATCTTTCTCTTGTCTTTTCGAAGAATAGTAAGGTTAATATGTTATACATTTAAAATACTATAAAGTGTTCTTTCAACAAAACGAAAACAATTCACATAGGAATGTGTGTGAATTGTTTTCGTTTTGCTGAAAGAAGACACCTTTTTTGTGATCAATGGACCGAACTTTAAAACGGTGGTTGTGTTTAAAATTCCGTAACTTGAAAAGTACATGAGTGATTTGAATGATTCTTGTACTAAAAGGAAGCTTATTAATTGGGCTTTCATATCCTAGATTTTGAAAGTGCTACATGCAGAACTTCACTAAGCAAATGGTCCTGCCATTTGGGTTTCCTTTTATTTACTCACCCTGTGTAAGTGGCTTTCAGTCGTCTTTAAGGACGATTGTCGACACTATCTTATAAAATAAGTCTGCTTCCTTTTTCCCCATTTTTTCTACCTAAAACTATGATTTCCAATATATTGGGACCTACAGAAGTGATTTGATTAATGTTTATTTTTGGTTTTAGAAATATTTAGAATAACGTCGAGTGAAGTTGTGTCCATTAATAAGTAGATCTACAATTTGCGACATACGGACGATGATTTAGTCTTTAGCTTGCGAGAGAACTAATGGTTATTAATCGCAAGGACCGGCGATGGTTGACCTTATTTAATTGTCCCGATTAAATTTAGTTCACGATGGGATTGCGTATATACTGATACCTACTTGGTTTGTCAAAGATGCGACCGCACGCGTAGGTTGGTTGCCTGGGTGCGTAACCGCGATGGCAGTGTGGACATGAGAATGCCCAGATGTGAACTGACCTCCAGATGTTAAACTGTTACCTCCAATTATTGCATCGTCCACAACTTTAGTTGAGGCGTATCGGACATTGGCGTGACGACGGTCTGATTTCAATTTGCGGGGCATTGGGGCACTTGTTGAAGGCTTCTGTTGAGGAACTAGTTGCATCTTGCAGGGGGAGTTGGGGCAATTAGGGGGCGGCCTTTTCAGGACGGGAGAGCCTTGGTTTTCTTCAAGAAAAAAATGCTGTGGCACAGCCCCATGTCCCCATAGGCCCCTAGGTACTCCACCGGAGGAATTCACTGAATTGGGTCATACAGTGTAGATGTTATGCTATGTTGTGTTTTATTCCCTGAACTTTTTGAAGTGTAACTGCATGTAGTGAAATTAGACGTGTTTTTTTTTTAATGACAGGTGGGTTTGCCAATAAAGCCTACCTTAAAGATCACTCCGTATTTTGTCACTCCTGAATTGGAAAATGATGAATATATTTAGCAACTCAAATAAATAATACGTTTGTCTGTAGATAAATTGAAAAAAAAAACAATCTGATCATTTCTTTTTGATAATCATTAGACTGCATTTCACAGACGTCACAAAACGGATTATTTCAAAGATCGTTATATGCCTACATTTACAAAGGGTATTCTAAAAGAAAGGTCATTTCGGTTTCAACATCAAGCACTTTGAGAATGAGAACATTGCCATTGCCAAATCTGTGCCGTTGAGTTGGGGGGATAGGGGATAACCGAAATCCAAAAATTGCCCGGGGGGCTTGCTGGACACGACATTACACTAGGAGGCGCTGTTCATTATGCAGATGTACATCTTATGTACATGTATACTTATGCGCCTTAACCGTACATCAAAACTGAGCATTTAAAGCCTTTGTACCTTGTTTCCCCGTTTTTCAGTGCTATTGAATACATTTTGGTTGTTAAGAGGTTCGAAGAACGAAAAAGGAAAAAGGCGGTTTTGAAGAAAACCGCCTATTTTGTTTCTCAGTTGGGGGGGGGGGGGGGGTGATCCAATAGCCCACCCTATGGTCAAAAGTGTGAGGGGGATATACTCCCATCCCCCAGAATTTACGCGGCTGATTACACGGGAACTTACAAATGTGGAGGCTTTATATTTGTTTTTACCTCACTGGAGTCCTTCGTCAACGGCGACGCTATGCTATACCCCAATTAGGCCGTAACAACTCTTTCCATTTAGTTTGTCTGCGTGCTTTTTGTGCATGTGCCTATATTGCTTGATTAAATAGCTACCTGTTTGTACTTTGTTTTGTTCAATGAAATTTGATTAAGACAATTTCTTAATTGCTTGTTTTGTACTGCTTTGATTTCAATTGTGTTCATCCGACTCAACGCCTTCTGATCTGCAACTCAGACGTTCACCCTTTCCTCTCGTTAATTGCGACACCTGTACATGACAGCGTACGTACCTTCGTATGATTAAATATAATTCTAGGAGTATGAAGGAGCGATAAGACACGATAATTATGATTACATTTCCAACGCCCCGTCGTCAGTTACACGGAGAGCGTGTCGAAGCTGACGTTTTTCCCTAGAGTCGCGTTGATTTCCTCGTCCAATTCGAGGTTTTTTTGCTCGCGGTATTTGTTTCCCCTGTTAATGATTGCCAACCAAAACAAACAGCCACGCGTATCAATCGAAGTCCTCGGGAATTGAATGCGGCATTCCGGTGTATATGCCAAGTTCATCAGAGATGAATTGAATGATAGGATACACTTAAGGTCCCAAAGCAATTGTTTGTTAATGCAACCTAGTATAGTCACTGACCAGAATAAGCATTCGTTACTGACTTGCTGCCGAAATGGTACTTTGACTTGACTTTCCTTCTCTCTGGACAATATTTTAAATAGAAAAGCTGAAATTCGTGCTCAAATCTGTCAGTGGTGATTAAATTTCAATAGGTACGGCAAAGTTAGGTGTTTTTTTTGGATCCCCCCCGGAAAAGAGAAAAACAAGCAGTTTGATTTGAAGTGGAGCCTATTATTAATCTTTATATTAGATAATATTTGAAGGTGTGCTTGGAGGTGAGGATAGCAAATGAGTGTCCTGTACCCAAGGACAACTTAGTTTCCCCACCCCATCAGCCTGTGGGTCTCCTTCCCCACTGCTCCCTTCCAGCACACAGACAAGCCTCACTGATCATCCAGCACCCCTCGCTATAGTTTGGTGTCCACAGGCACCCTTCACACACAGGGGCAGATCCAGGAGTTTTTGCCCGGGGGGGGGGGGGGAGGGGGCAGGCACGTCAGATTTCTTTTATGCCCCAGTGGCGCAACAAGTTCATTTTTGCAGGGGGGTAAAAAGTTCGTGACAACAGTTTTAAAATAAATTGGTTAACATAACCAATCATTGGTTGAAATAGCCAACAATTGATTAATAATGTGTCTAACTAATCGATTGGTTGGACACACAATAATTGTTGATTACTTCAGCTCATGATTAGTTATGGTAACCAGTGTTGTTTTTAGAGTGAAGGGCACTCGCAAATAAGCGTTGAAACATAGACAGGTTTTTTTTCCTCCGGAAACTTGACCTTCGTAAATTGAGGGGGGGGGGGGGGGGGCGCTGTAAAATCTTCCAATAGGGGCACTGTTCAAATCAGACGATCATACTAGGTATCGGACAATAATGTGCAAATACCCCTCTTACCCCCGCTGGCTACGCCTCTGTGTCAGATTGTTTCATACAGGCGGTCATAATATAGGTAATTAGTATTACTATAATTGTCATTTTTTTTTGTGTCAGAGCAAGGGGCGGGTTTCGACCCCACGCCCCCACCCCCCACCGCTCCCCGATCTGCGCCGTTTCACACCTCCACGCCCCACCGCTTCGTGTTGTATACTAAATTTATAAACACCCTTTATCGTTGGAATCCCTCAGTTTTCTGATCATGCTGATGAGGGGCAGAATACAGGCCCTACTCTCCGAAACGCTGTTTGTCAGAGCCTCACAAACCCACAAAAGAGATATTTTTTTTCATGGTGCATTGGTGCAACCATAATAAGCTAATCTCATTAAACCTATCATTGTCCTCAATTAGTTTCCTTGACCCACTACGACAATGTAACTCATCGATGTTACCAAATTGAAAATATGTCAATGTAACTCATCGATGTTACCCAAATTGAAAATATGTAATAAAAAAACCACAGATTTATACGTGATAAACTTTTTTCCCAGTGTCGTTATGTCTCTCGCACGAGTTTTATGGTTGGTGACTGTACCTGGTTGCAGAAAAAAAGGTGATTCCTGAATGATCAGATCGAGCCCCAGAATGATCAGGTACATGTCGAATGTGCACATTGGCTCGAGTGTCTGCGATACGAGAACCGTGGCGTTGATCGAATGGATGTTGTCCGTCATGTTTGTTCAATGTAACGATGTACCAGATAACGTTTGTTCGGCCGGCTCTAACTGGATGCTGTGACCAATTCACAACACGCATCCATCGAGCGCGGAGACAAACTATTATGGAGCAACTGCTCGTGCAACATTTGCTGAGTACTTT